GCTGCTTGCCCAACGTCCGTGTGAAGTAAATACCAAAATGGGGACACATTTAATTCAATGGTCTTTGAAAGAAAGGTTCTTGTCTGACCGTCCAGGGACCAGCAGCCACTTTCTACCTCTCCTTTCTCCTTCCATCCTTCCCTGTCTTCTCTCCCTTTCTTCCTCCCTCCCTTTTTTCTTTCCTTCCTTCCTTCCTTCCTTCCTTCCTTCCTTCCTTTCTTCCTTCCTTCCTTCCTTCCCTAAGTTTAAGTTGCTTTTATCAGTTATTTTGTCGTAGCAATGAGAAAAATAATTAATTCGATACCTGAAAGCAGGGCCTTGCTGCCTGGCTGCCTTCTTCTGGAATTCTCCTGTCGGGCAAACGGTGACTGCACTAATGTGTGGCCACACGCTGTCATTCCTCACTCTGTGCTTTGCTATGATATTCCTTTCTCACAGCCCAAGCGGGCTCAGTCTGTTCTTCAAAGGTCATGTCCAGCATCCTTGACTCTCCTCTTTGTCCATTCCCTTTCCCTTCCCAGCACCTTCCTTTCCTCTGGAGTCCTCCTAGAGTTGCCGCCTACAGCACTGATTTGACTCTTCCATCTTCTAGTGCTTCCTGCATATATGCCTCGGCATTGTTTCCTCAACTAAATCCTAAGAATCCAGGAGATGGGGACTAAATACAAAGCTATCATTTTGCCCAGCAGCAGGCTGAGCTAGAAGAAAATTGCCCAGTTAAAATGACCATGCACAGATCTACCCAAAGGAAGAGACTTCTGCTTAGAAAATGCCAAAGGCATAAATACTGCCTACACCTATCCCCCATGAAGGTTAATATCCATTATCAACTTGGCTGGATTTGGAATCCCAAGAGACTCACTTCTGTGTATACCTCTGAGGGTCTGTCAAGAGACGTTTAACTGGTGAAAAAGTCTCTCCTCGACTGTGGGCAGCACAGGTCCCTGTCATTGTTGGCTTTCTGCTGCTGTGACAAAACACTGATCAAAACCAGCTTGGAAAGGAGAGGGTTTATCTGGCTTACAGTTCTCACAGCCCATTATTGAGGAAAGGCAGGGCAGGAAATCAAGCACAGATCAGGAGGCAGGAACTAAGACAGGAACCATGGTTTCTGCTTACTGGTGAGGGTCCCACGGTTCACTGAACGTGCTTTCTTATGCAGCCCAGGACCACCTGCTCAGGAACGGAAACAAACCATGGTGGGCTGGGCCCTCCCACATCAATCACTAATTAAGAATATGCTCCCCAACTTGCCCATCTGAGGAAGGCGATTTCTCAACTGAAGCTCCCTTTTCCCAGATGACTCTGATTTGACAATAATGAACCAGCACAGTGTCAGACTGAATTAAAAAGGGGGTTGGGAGGGGGAGGCAAGCTAAGGACCTGCACTCAGCTCACTGCATTTCCTGACTGAGGACCTGAGCTGCTGCCTCATACTCCTGCTATGCCATACCTGCTATACCATGACGGCTGCACCACGATGACTGCACCAAACCGTGAGCCAGCACCCCATCCTTCTTCCAACTGCCTCTTGGTTTTGGGTTCTGTTATTGTTGTTTTGAGACAGGGCCTCTCTGTGTAGCCTTAGCTACGCTAGCTAGCCTGGAGTTGGCCTGTAGGACAGACCGGCTCCAGTCTCACGGAGATCTGCCTGCCTCTGCCACCTGAGAGCTGGGACTGACTAAAACCAGGCACTACTGTGCCTGCTTCCTGCAAGGCACTTGGTCACTGTAATGAGAAAGTAAGTATCGCTCGCTGCTCGCTAACCACAAATAGCTAGTAGTCTCAAGCTCCTCGCGCCCTGTAGTAGAAAAGATGTCTTTGAACCAGCATAAGGAGACCTTAAAAGAGAGAGAGAGAAATCAACCAGACAGTGGTGGCACACACCGTTAATTTCAGCACTCGGGAGACAGAGGCAGGCGGATCTCTGTGAGTTCGAAGCCAGCCTGGTTTATGGAGTGAATTCTGCAACAGCCAGGGCGACACAGAGAAACCCTGTCTTGAAGAATAAAACAATAACAACAAAAAAGTGGATCATTTTCTGTATAACCTTGTAAAAGAAATCGGATTCTGTACGTTTGGTGGTGCTAACGCTTGGACTCAGTGCCCTGTATTTGCTGAGCAGGCGCTCTGTCATTGAGCCTCACCCCTAGTCCCAAGAGATTCTTTTTTTGGTATCTTCAAGTTATAAAATGTCTGAATTTATTCACTACTTGAACAATTGCTATTGACCAAAGGTTATGTGCTAGGTACTGAGGGTACATTATTGAACTTGATTTAACAGTCTCTCCTCGGGAGCTTCAGGAGCAGAAAGGGCAGGCATTAAGTAGGCAGGTGCTGTTTCAGTGGGCAATTCAACAGAGGGATTGTCAGTGTTAATGGGTTCAGCGTCAGAGGCAGCCACGCTGATCCAGGGTTCAGGAAGGCCGTCCTGGGAGAGGTCTGTTTAATGTAAGAACAGAGAGCTGCAGATTCTACCCTTTAACTTCAAGAGAGTCCACCGGGGGATTAGCTGAAGAATTTTAAGTTTCAGAGCACATGATGAGGATTGGAAACCAGGGCCTTGTCCATGCTAAGCACATGCTCTACCACTGAGAGACATCCCAGCCCAGAGTTAAGTAAACCCTTACACACAAATGTGCCACTGAATGTCAGTGCCGACAAGAGGACGGCTTGATAAGAGGGATGTCTTCTTTAAAACATCTGACAGTGAGTTACAAATAAAGACAAAGGAAAATAACCAGAGGTGGCGCATGCCTCAATCATGCTTCTCAGAACCTGCAACTTTAATTATGAAAATGCTGACTATCTCCTTGGATAAGGAAATGAATAAACCTTCCCATTTGCTGCTCCAGTAGCTCGTATCGTTGGCTGGTCTCACACTCAAGATGGAAGGGCCAGGTGCTCACACTTGTGTCTTGCGCAATTGCTTTTCCTCAAATGCACCTTGAATGCTTGATTTTTGACATTCTGTTTATCTGAAAAGCTAGATTTTTTTTAAATGTTATTACAAAAGTGATTAGCAAACAATCATTGACATATTAGTCTAGTTTTTAAAGCGTTACCTTTAAAAATATTTTTATTTTGTGTGTATGAATGTTTTTGCCTTCATGTGTATATGTGAACTACACGCATGCCTGGTGCTCTGAGGAGCCCAGGAGAAGGTGACGGATTCCACAGAATTAGAATTATGGAGTTGTAAACAGCCACATGGGTGCTAGGAACCCAACACAAGTCCTCTCCAAGAGTAGCAAACACTCTTAACTTCTCTAGCCACAAGAAATTACCTTTCTGTCTAAGACTTTGCATGTGGTAGCTCATAGTTCCTAGAAACAGACACCTCTCATATTAACTGTATTTAACATTCCCCAGAAAGAGAGAGTGCGTGAGTTTGCTTGGCATGTTTTGTTGCAGAGGGACCCTAACAAAGCAAGTGGTGTCTGTGTCTGTCTGTCTGTCTGTCTGTCTGTTTCTATTAATTTTCTGCTCAGGGGACACAACTTCCCAGCTAAGGGAACACATAAACGCTGGAGTTAATGCTTGCAATGTAAGTGTTGCAGAAATCTGAAGCACATGTGTCTGAGACAAAGGCCTCTGCTGGTCCCATCGACAGAGTAAGGCCTCAGCTGCCCCCGCTGTGTTTGCAAATGCTGCCCCGTTAACTATCTCCTCCCAACCACCACCATTTCCCGTACTTTAAATGGGACCAAAGCTCAGCTGAGTACCATAGACTAGGTGCTGAGGCCAGGAGCATCTCAGAGGTGGAAGTTTGCCTCCTGTGGACTAGGACCCCAGGAATGGGAGAGACCTCAGAGAGAGAGAGAGGGAAGTAAGAACAGGAGGTCTGGGTTCCCTTGCCCTCTGTAGAGATTCTGACTGCAGACAGGGGAGAGTTAGAGAACAAGAATTTTTGTCAGGGTCATTGCTAAGCCATTCTGGACCTATGGCTAACAGTGCCTTCAAAGGGCTCTCATCCTGTCAGCTTCCCTTTCAGCTTCCCTAAGTGCTGCTGTCCTGACCCCCCGGCCCTCTCCTCAAGTCCCCCCACCAACCACAAGCAGAACATCATAGTACTTTTCATAATCCCAACACGGGGCTCAGACTCTTTTAAACACTTTTAAATGGTTGTAGAGTGAAGTAATAAATGAACAAATAAGGAAAAATGCCTTTACTCTTTTTTTGAGAACAAACAAGTTTAGACACGGCCTGATCCTTTGGCCCCCATAGGTCTTTGTGCTTTTGGGGGGGTTGGGGGATGGGAAAGCATCACCGAGCCATGAGGAGGCCACTTGTCCATGAGCTCTGGCTCCAGGTTCAACTGCAGCGTGTGGGTGTATTTTGTGGCTGCAATTAGAAGTGGAGTGACCTCAGACTTCACCATCCACAAACAATCTAATTGCTCAGACTTACAGCCCTGGGATTGTAGGTTCCGAAAGATGCCAAATTCCGATGAAAGAGAAATGCGTTGTTTGGGAATCTTAACAAGGTCCTACCAGTATGCTTATCTCCTGGCTTCTGCAAACAGGTCTAGGAACCTCATCCCTGCCTCCCCCCCCCCCCCCACCCCCCGCTCCAAGAACTGGCTGTTAGATTAGCCGTGCCTGGATAGTTTTCTATTACAATTTTCTGAAATCCTCAGTCATGGAAGGACGAAAGAAAAAATAAACCACGGAAACCAACTGTGCAAAGGAGAGCAATCTACAGGGGCGAACGGACTGCCAGTTCCGTGTGCGGAAAGGCAGCCTCGTAGCGCTGCTGTGGCAGCTGCTCAGCCGCACTGGGTTGGGACCAAATAAATGGGAGGCAACAGTGCCCCTTCCCCAAACTACAAATAAAAAGCAAGCCGAGGACGTAGCCGGTTAGGAATGCCCGCATTGCGAGGCGTATTTACCACGGCCCCGCTTAAGCCTCGCCGCCGACGCGCTCACAATATAAACAGGAAGGATTAGAGTGACCCGTGTCCCCAAAGACTGCGGCAGCCCGGGGAAAGCTCCGGTTACCTTGCATCCTGCGCAGCCTGCCCCTTGATGACAAATGCCCCAGATTCGAGCATTCTTTTGTAGTTCATGGGAAAGCAGGCTAATCCGGCCGAGCCCGCCCGCACGCAGCCCGGCTCCATTCAGGGCTCCCGCACAATGCGCCCTCTGCGCGCCCAGCAGCCCGCAGCCGCGGCCTCGCCACCGCGACCTGAGCCGACCCGCGCCACCGGCTTCGCTGCTTCCCCTTCCCGTGCGGGGCCGCGGCGTGTAGGGTGGGAGCACGGCGTGGGAAAGTCCACACCGAAGGGGGGGATGGGAACCAGCACATGCTGGCCTTCGGTGTTCCCCTTAGCCCGCCCCTGCTCACCCTCAACCTTTCCATCCATTCCCACCCTGTCCCATCTCCCTCCGTCTCTTGTCTCTGTGTGGACTCCTAACCTTCCATTAGCATCACAGTATCCCTGTGAAGAAGGTCCATTTCACAGATGGGGAACTGAGGCCCACATGAGCCCGGTGGCCACGGAAGATGCATGCCCTTCACCCTTAAGCTACAGGTTGCCTTGGCTGTCAACAGCACAGCTCAACCCCAACCTGCAGCGGGGAAACCTTGTTTCTGTCTCAGCTGCCACATCCAGGGAGAGGGAGGTCTCAGGCCAATCAAAGAGAGTGCGGGCCCATAGTAGATTCAAAGCTCACTGAAGCGTTCAGCAGCGGAGAGGAACTGTTTGTCTAAGATGGCACCCTCTTCAAGGAGAGCCTCCACTCCCACCTGCTCCAGGTTCTCCTGAGGGAGCTCCATCCATAACGAAGTTGCAACTGTGAGTTGTACACCAACCAAACGTAGCAACCTTTGGTTGAGGCCGCAGGGAGGCCGAGGTGGAAGGATCGCCTGAGCGCAGCAGTTCTAGGCAGGCATGGGCAATACAGCAAGACCTTTCCTGGTATCAGCACAACACTCACAAGCTGAGTTTTAAAAACATAAATTAAGCTGGGCACGGTGGCTCAAGTCTAAAATCTCAGCACCAGGGAGGCTGAGGTAGGAGAACTCGGAGTTCTAGGCGAGCTGCGGAGAGAGATCCTGTCTCAGTAAAACAAAACCATGAGCTGTCTACCTCAGCCATTTTTTTCTTTCAGGCGATGGATGAAAGGTTGGTCTACAGGGGCCTGTTGATTGGCCTCAGTGTCCTGGAAAAGGCCTGAAGTACTGTGGCATGTACCTGGGAATAAATGAAGGGCACAGAATGCAACAAAGCAGCATTCAAGATCTAGAAAGCCCAGGGAAACAGCTGAAGGGGAGGTGACAGAGATGAAATTAGGAGCTGAGAATATAGCTCGATAGTAGACTGGTGTGCTTAGCGTACCCAAGGCCCAGCAACAGACACACACACACACACACACACACACACACACACACACACACACACACACACACTGAAATTAAACAGCAAAAACATTCTAAATCTTACCCCTGCAATAAGGAAAGAAGTAATGGCTAATAATGTCGAGCCTAGCTCTAAAGTTTTTATTATTTTATTATTGTTGTACATGTATGTGATGTGGGGGGGGTGTCATGGTGTACATGTGGAGATCAAGGAACAACTTTATGGACTTGGTTTTTCGTTTGTCTGTTTGTTGAGACAGGGTTTCTCTGTGTGTAGCTTTGGCTGTGCTGGAACTCACTCTGTAGACCAGGCTGGCCTGGAACTCACGGAGGTGTGTGCCGCCACCGCCCAGCTGTGGATGTGGCTCTTTCTTGCTCCCTTATGTGGCTGTCAGGGATCAACTCAGGTGGCCAGGCTTGCCTCTCCATTGCCTTTCCCCGCCTAGCTTCTTAAACTGCCGGCATGATCACGCGTAGGGCTTTATAACTGAACGTTTGAGTGCGTGGAGTCCACAAAGCTGGCCACGGTGAATAGTTTCTGAACCCAGAACGGCCAAAAATGAACTCAAAACCAAACCATAGTGAAGCCAAAGCATTTCCGGAAGCAGGTGCTTATGTGACTTCCCTGCGGCCTTGGTTATGAACACGGAACACGGGCGCTTTGCACTGCGCATGCGCCCAACTCACACAACACCAGTAAACACTTACCTAGGGCACTCTGGCTCAGAATGGAGGTCGTGATGTCACGAGCTGCAGTGTACTTACTGCACACACAGTTCTCTGCTCTAACAGTATCCTAACGGTGTAACTGTGGGGGAAATGCTTTTAATAATTTCCTCAGTATGTATCACGCTAGTGTATCTTTGTGTAGCGTTGTATTAGAATGCTCGACTTTAAAAATTGCCATTTGGAGGCTGAGTAAAGTGTTTGCCTTACAAACAGGAGAGTATGAGTCCAAACACGTATTTATGAAAAAGATGGACGTGGTGGTACTTGCTTGGAATCCCAGCACAGGCAGAGGTGGAGACAGGAGGATACCTGGATCTGACTGGCCAGCCAGCCTTGCCTATTTGGTGAGTTCCAGGCCACAAGGAGACCTAACAGGGAAACCAAAAAGGTGGGCCAGGCTTGATGATGACACCCATGCCTTTGACCTCTGAGAGGCACACAGATGTGCCTCAGTACCTGTGATGAACACACACACACACACACACACACACGCACGCACGCACGCACACAAGCACACACATTCCTGTTTCAGTTGCCGACTTGAATTCGTAACAAATCATTAAATGAATTTTGGCTTGGGATTAGGACAGAACGTCTAGCAGTTCCTGAAATGGTTCTAAGCATACATTGTACAATGTATTCATGGGAAGTGGTATTCTTAGTATTGACAATTATGAGATCAAAATATTGATCAGTTCTAAAAATGTTGCAAAGAGGCTGGGGAGACGCCTGGTTGTTAAAGGGCTCACCACGGAAGTGTGAGGAACCAGAGTGGGATCCACAGAAACGCCAGGCTGGGAAGCAGCCTCTGTAATTCCAGCCCTGGAAGGTGCTCCTGAGAGCACATGGGCTGCGCTAGAGCCATAGGTTTGAGCTTTGGGTTTGATTGACAGATCCTGCCCCAACAAATAAGGTGGAAGAGCCACGGAGGATGATTCTTGCCATCAACCTTGGCCCTCCACACGCACAGACGTGTGTACACACAACTGCAGGCACACATGGATGTGTAAGCTTACAAGTGTGCGCCCCCTACATTCATACACACGAATACAGACCACACACATGAACAGAAGAAAGGAAAAAAAAATAGGATGAAACACAAAGACGATTTTCTATGTCCGCAGTATTCAGCCAAGATTTAATTCTTTATGTGGAAATAAGTAAGCACGCCCATCTCACTAGCATGCAAACCTTCTTTCAAAAATAATAAAATTATATTTCTACCAAAGAACTGTTTTAAAATAAATTTCTTTAGGAGTAACTGTCAGTGAATTTTTGATCTGTATACTCATTGTATAAACCTGCTTTCCCAGGGCTTTCTAAAAATTTCTCAGGCAAAAGGAGTTGTGAACAGAAAAAGTTTAAGGTATTGTGGGCCTTCTTGTATATTATTGTGGGGGTACAAATAGAAACAAAGTTGTGAGAGACGCAGGAAATATGTCTCAAATGTGTAAAAGGTATATATTGTATCACATTGGTTCTACTTGTAGTTTTCTCCTAAGGCAATAAATTATGTCAGATAACTTAAATAGAGGAGTTAATAAGATATATCCACAATAGCACAAGAATATATCTAGAAGTCCATCAACAAGGGATGGCTTGTTAGTTTATGGGAATCCACATAAAGGGAAATTACAGTATATTAGTAACAGGACACAGTACATTTTAAGAGTATGGCATCATAACACTTGGGGGGGGGATAAAAGTATTCAGAAATATGTCTGGAGGGATGAATAAAAATTGTGCCTAAGGACCAATGATTGTTCTGGTTTTCCTCCTTTGTGTGTGTGGTTTTTTTCTTCTTTTAATATTTTCTAATAGCGCTTCAGTGAACACATACTATATGGGCAATAGAGAAAAACGAACTCCCTTTTGAGTTAGGTTCTTGCCATGTCACCTAAGCTGATCCCAAACTCCTGGGCACCAGTGATCCACCTGCCCCAGCCTCCCAAAGTAACTGCCCTATCACTGCACCCCACTAAAGCATTTATTTTCTAAAGACAATAGATGTTTATGTTCCCTCTGTGATGGTAAAGGAGAATGGTTTCTGATTTGAAAAGGAGACAGCTCTCCAAGTGAGTGGAAATGCCCACCATTTCCAGGCTTCAGAACATCCATAACAGGATATAAGCTTTGCTACCTCATTGTCTGGTCCCTCAGCATTAATATGTGCACAGAGCACATGACCTCAGGGAACTTCACTGAAAAGTGTTGTTACCAACGCTTGGCACATGCCCATCCAGGAGAAGTAATGGCTGAAGTGCACAGTCCGACCAGCTTGCACCATAGTGTAACCGACACCAATTAGGCCATTAGCTCTACACACAGACAGTGCTCAGTTAGTGCTCCTCAGAGGTACCTGTGCTGAGCGAGGTCTCATGTTCTACCCTGGCTTCCATCTGAGCTTAAAGTGAAGTGGTCTCAAGAAGAGTACCTTTTTAAACATCCAGTGGTTCATCTGCTTCTCTTTTTTTTTTTTTTTTAAGTTGGTTTTTTGAGAAAGGGCTTCTCTGTGTAGCCTTGGCTGTCCTGGACTCACTTTGTAGACCAGACTGGCCTGGAAATCACAGAGATCCACTCCCTGAGTGCTGGGATTACAGGCACATGCCACTGCTGACCGGCTCATCTTTTTTATACTGTGTAGTATCCTTGCATTGACTTCCTCCATGACCCTCCACTCCCAGGAGATATCAGGGACCTGAGGGACTGAGCTCCTCTTGCCATTGTACTGCAGAGGGCAAATCTACAGTGACATTAACCCCCTCCAAAATGAGCCCTCAGGAAATAAGAGTTTCCTCTATATTTATTCTTTTAACACCTCTCTCATATCACAAGGTACTGAACTAATTATCATTCTTAACTATGTTGTGTAAGAAATACTCCCGTGTGTGTGTGTGTGTGTGTGTGTGTGTGTGTGTGTGTGTGTGTGATGCTGAAGACTGAAATAATTAAGGACCCTCACATGTTGAACAGGTCCTCCACCCGAGCTATATCCCCAGCCCTGGGAGTTTTGAGGCAGGGTCTCCCTGTAATGTCTAGACTGGCTCTGAATTCACAATTCTCCTTT